TAATCAAATGCATTTTTTTGTGTGTACGTCGCCTTTATAAAATTTTAAAGATCGAAGAAAATTTTTAGTTAATATATAAAAAATTTATAAAAAGCCCTGACTGGAAATTACGAATTTGGATCGGTTTTTTTGTCATTAAAAAATGTTTAAAAAAACAACTTTTCAATTAAGGTTTATGTGGAAATTGAGGGGCGTTTTCCTTAAAACCTACGAAAATTTATTGATAAATTGTCGGTATGTACAATATCTTCCAAAGAAAAATAATAGTCTAAAAACAGTATTTTTTTTAGTACATTTGTAATTTTTTTTCAATAGAAGAAAAATTTTAATTTATAATTGATGTTAAATTTTGTATATAGTTTGGGAGATTTTTTCTTTTGAAAATGTGCCCCGAGTTAAATGCATCAAATACATACACAAGCGATAATGGTGTGATTGCATTGTACCTGACTCCAGGTACTGCACTGGCTGTAGGGGATGTAAGAATATAGCATGCTCGTTGAATTGCTCATTTTTGCTGCGATTTACTGCAATATCGATGAAAAAGTCATACCGAAAGGATCATACACGTAACAGGTTATTTTGTTCTGGAGTTTCATATTGCTATGACAGGGAACGTGTTTTTGTTGTTGTTTGTTTGTTCTTTGTTTTTTTGTGTTTTTTCGGTTATTTTTTTTCTTTTGTTGTTGTTGTTGTTGTGTTTTTGTTTTGTATTTTGGCTGATGATACAATAGAGAAAGAACATAGGTAGAAATATGGTCCTGATCTAAAATATACCACCTGTCATTTTAGCCAAACCATCAAGGTATATCCGAATGAATTGTATCTCAAAGGAATAAAGCTTATATAAATATTTGTTTTCGTACACAAATACTAGGTCACATGTACTTGTCAGAGAAGTTTTTAAGTTTTCCCTTTTATCGTATATTAAACCTTTTGCTGATTACAAATTCATTGTATTTTCAAGAAATTATATACTATGTAGTTTGCTATTACCGTCGTTGGCACCACTCAAGAAAAAAACATCAATTTAATAAATCCATATTACTTTTTTCTTGCCTGACTTAGTTAAAATATAATAAACAAGTTTAATACATTAGCATCTTAGCATGTGTGCAGCAACGATTTATTGCAAACCACGAAACCTAGGGGAATAATAAATCTAGCATTTATAATAGAAATATCAATTAATTTTTCTTACCCCACCTCATACGAAAAAACTGTTTTCTCATGGTGCATGAAAAACCATCTGAAATTTTAATGAGGGTCTGAAATTAATGTCATAAAGTTTTAGTATCAGTGCTGAAAGGAAGAAACGTCGTTTATTATATTTTTAGTTAGTTTATATATCATATCAGTAAATCTTCAACCACATATGCTATACGCAATGAAAGCGTGTGGAAATGTAAGTCAATGAAAAACAATAATGTATTGTGCCCAACGATAAAAAACAACCTAAACCGAATATTAAAACTAGGTTTTTCTAACATATGTCTGGGGTATCTGGCTTTGAAATAATATGACAAAAAGCAAACAATTCAGTGAGAAATAAATCGAAAAACAATCTAAAGCACTTCCCAAATTCGTCCCGTTATCCTTTTATAGAAGCAGCCAAAGATTTCATAAACTCTGTTTTACAGTCTTCATTATGTACATATATATAAACGAGTATATGTAACTGGAGCATACGCATTTAAAACTCATAAATTATATATACAGAATAAACTGGCACACCATTAAAGACCCCATATTACGTTTTTCACTATTTTTTTTGATACTTTTGTTTTAAAAGCATTTAAACTTTCACCCTTTAAAATGACCTAATTCCCTTTGCGAAAAATTTCCCCTTTACTTTACTTTCAACCCGTCGTTAATTCGCTGTTATAGTTTTATAGTAATTATCGGGGGATATTTCATATAGTACATAGCAAAAAAATCTGTGGAATGTGCTGATTTATTATTTCTTTGTTACGGACATATTGCTAAACAACCAAATTGCATTTCAAATTTGCACCTTTTTCCGTGTCCAATAGTTAAGTGTTAGTCATTCGGTGTTTTGGATTGAATAACGATAAAGCATGAATGAATAATGCTGTATATATATTTGATAACATTAAATAACTACTTAACTAGAAACACCATACGCGCACAGAGAATATGATGTTGTGAAAATATTCAGTTTTCAACAACACGTTATCTGCGTCATTAACAGTGTAAATGTTGGAGGAAATATAACACTGTATAGGAAATTGTATACTACTGGATTAAATTATTAACTTCTCAAATGCCTTACTTAGTTTGCATATTTTCAAACTAAAGGATATTTCGAGTGAATGAATGTAAGTAATTATTCGTTTTATTTTGCGTTTGTCTTTATCAATTCAATCTGGTCAACGTGAATGATATTTTCAAAGAAAACAAATATACTTATAGGGGATGAACAGAACAGAATTGAAAGAAATAAATCACTGATAAATTACTATAATAATAAGTATCTCTTGTTGAGTTATTCTAATTAAAGATGGTTCATGTATGGCTTCAAATCAATTTAGTAATTTTGCCGTTTTGTTATGTGATATCATTTTAATTAACAATATGAGTTCAGTTGTACTACAGAAAGCTATTCCCCTATTACACGCTTAATTAGTGGTTACATTCATACATGCCGTAAATTTATTTCTTCTTTCAACGAAGCATTTTTAATTGGCAATAAACCCTGCCTAAGACTATATTTTCTGAGAATGAATCGAGCTGTCATAAAAAAGTATAATGTATTTGAAGAAAAAACGACGATTTTATAGCATAACTATAAAAGTACAATGTCAGAACAATGACATTTTAAAATGGGTTGCATATATTAAAACAGTAGCTTTCTTTTTTTTTAGGAAAAATGCTTATTGTATGATCACTGTTGTAGCAGAAAATCAATCTTTTTTACGTAAGCAATAAACATTGTTTATAACAATTACGTTCCGCTTTTGTGACTCCTTAAAACTGGTATTGCACGGTCGTTAAAATAAGATGAATAATGAACCAAACGAAGTATACACATAAGTATGGCAAATGCATAGTTTATTCTTAAAATCCAAATTCAAGGTTTTAGCGCGACTTTATAAGATTCTGTTCAATTTTGTTATAACAGATGATCATTCAAAGTGTAAAGATTTATATTATTACATCATTATTTAATTGTTATGCAAAATTGTTTATTGCAGATATTTTGACTATTGCGGTAAAAGTAATACCAAATTGATATATTTATTGAATGATAGGCTTGTTTTACATCTACTTTATAGCGTTTCTCAGAGAATATTTGGAAAGTGAATGGAATATATTTATATTTTTTACTTTTCTAAATGGGTATGCACATTTAGCTAGGAGTCTGTTTCATGTCTCTATTATATCTAACAAAGTGCGTTTGCGACCAACATGGATCCAGACCAGCCTGCGCATCTGCGCAATCTGATCAGGATCCATGCTGTTCTCTTACAAACCCTATTACAAGTAGAGAAACTGATAGCGAACAGCATGGATCCTGATCAGACTGCACGGATGCGCAGGCTGGTCTGGATCCATGCTGGTCGCACACGCACTATGTTGGTTTTATCATGACGCAGCTTAAATACTTGTGTCTGAGAGTATGCCTTGTAATTTCTTAGACTAAGCAATAAACTTTCAATAAAGAATGCTGAAAGAATAGAACTCGTTTAAATAGAAGCATTGATTTATGGGAATTGTTCTATAAACAGTTGATTGCTGGCCATTATTGTAGTTGTTATTTAGAGTGCACTTCAGGTTTGTTGTTGCAAGTTATATGCAAAGGTATAAGAGTGCAGTAAAGTTTATTTTAGAGGTAATAATCATTATATATTCTTAAGGAAACAAGTAACGTAGAAATACATGATATAAAAGATACATAACTCTAGAAACTTGATGTTTGTTTGGCTAAATAGAGCACAATATTATGTTTTCGTCTCCTAACACAAACATATGTATTTATTTTATAGGTAATAATCAGGATGTTTCTAAGAAAACAAGTAATGTAGAAATACATGATAGAAAAGAGACATAACTATAGAAAGTAGATGTTTGTTTGGCTATTAAAATAGAGAACAACGTTATGTACTAAGTACACAAACATAAGTATTCCTTATCAATAGGAACTATTAAATGTCGTTCTTCTTCCACTACTGTACATAACCCACTCTGGGGCATTATCGTTGGAAGGAAAATAAAGACGAATCAAAATGATGAAAATTTTGACATAATGTTTGAGAGGAGATTATTATAAGATATATATATATATATATATATATATATATATATATATATATATATATATATATATATATATATATATATATATTGTGTGTATTATGTGTAATTGATAAACTGCAATTTACATTTATAAGATAAAAATGCTATGTTATCAAATATGATTGTGTGATATAAGTATATGAGTATTCATATAGGATTTAATTGGTTGATACTGTTTGGTGTGTGTTATATGAGTATTTGATATATGATATATAGAAGTCATATGATATTGCAATCTCATATGATTGTGATACACGAGTTTGATACTATGTGATATATGAGTAGATGTATTGAAAGTGTGATATATGATATGACGATTTGTTATATGATATGAGATTTTGTTATTGTAATGTGATATGATGATTTAACGTATGTGATATGAGGATTTGATATAATATTATGCTTTAAGAATTTAATATATATGATATAAAACTTTAATTAACTGTTATGGGATTGTGTGATATATAAGATACGAAAGATTGATTCCTTAAATGAGAATTTGATAGAATATAATTTGAGAGCATGTATACTAAAATACCGTTTGGTGAAAATATAATTGTATGGAAATAAATGTCAATTAATATTATTTGATATGACTGCGTGGTAGATGTTATATGCATATAATGTTGTCTCATCATATGTGATATGACAGTTTAATATCAAGTCTATATCTTTATTGTTTCAGATATAGGGTATACATGGTTACAATTACAGATCTCGGGGCCAGCAATACAAGCGAGGTTGTGGACTTTGCAACGAACCTTACGGGTACGTGATTTTTGTTTTTTAAAACTTTCAAAATTTGTTTGAGTTTCATAAGATAAACCAGCACATTCAGAATACTTAGTACAATTTGTGTGATGAAATGATATGTTAAGGTCATGTATTAGAAATCAAAATAGTAATGCAACAGAAATTGTTGTTATGTTTAAAGAAAAGTTTTTTTTAGTTTCAGCGAGTATGCTTAATATGTCACTGAGAAGTGAGAAAATGTGGAACATTCTATCACATCGATGTTAGATATATAGCATATATTCTGCACAAAAAAACACTTGATTTTTCGGGTTTTTTTATGTCTGATTAGTAAAAAACGACAATTTAAAAGCTATTTAAAATGAAGCATGTGAAACAGACGCAGGAAAGAGGAGACGACTTCAGGCATTCAATGGCTACGTGAACGCCATGTATTCAACGTTATTCAAGTTTATAGTCACCTTTGCGGTGTAACCTTTAATTATTGAAGGGTACTAATTAATTGCATTTAAACTAGATATATGCAATTGAAAGCAAAATTCAATAGAAGTGAATGATTTTAGTTTTACACGCCATCAAAATGTGTCGAACCAGCTATGCCGATGCATTTAGATGGCTTGTGGAATATATAATTATTCACATATGAGTGTATATTGTGAGGGTCATATTTCATTTCATGAATAAAAACTGAATTTTCACTACTTTACAAAAATTTGTTTTTAAAATAAAGCGATGCGTTCAAGAAAAAAATAATTGGTTTTAGGTGCCATGCAGAAGATATGCAAATGTTGTTTTTTGTTGTTGTTTTTTATGTTGCAATCAACTCCATTGTAATTGTTTAGGCATATCTTACCAAAACAGCTTAGATTGTATTTCATATCTTATAAAAATATGATTTCTTTTATGCTTTTATTATGTACGTTCCAAAAAATCAATACAGCAATCTTGGGATATTAATGTATCCACAACATTGTTGATGACATACTGATATTCATCACATACCCGTGGCGATTTTGCGAGTACGTAAAAATGGTATTTCGCGGCCGTGGATGCATGTTGACTTGACGTAATAGGGTTATATTAACATATCGTAAAGACGCGCTAAATGTATGCGTTACACAATAATGGCGCGTCAATAAAAATAATTATTTTGCAAATTAAACAGTCTTCATTTTGAGCGCGTGCTAAATAGAATATTATAAATTGTAGGTTCATTACTGATTTTATTGCACTCGATGAATAATAACATAATACAGTAGAACTTCGGTAAGTCGAAGTTGAAGGAACTTGGGTAAAAACTTCGACACATCGGGACTTCGACTCATGAATCGCTCTCAATTCCATGACAAAATTTCGACCCGTGACTAGTGCTAATCATAAGATCTCTAGTGCTAATCATAAGATCTATAACGAAACCTTGTTCATGTTTTTCAATCATTAATCAGATATTTTATATTTAACTATGATAAAAATAGCATGTTAGATAACGTTTTTCACGGCTTATTATTTTGACTACCCGTTGACGTATACAATAGAGTTACAAAAGGCGTAACAGTAAGAAAGGGCGATAACTAAACCGGCTTATAGTAAATATTTCGCGTGTTATTCTTACGCAACACCGGGTCATGGATGTTTTCAAATGAAAGTAGTTTTTACTGTTTACTTTCAAATACCACTACGGCAATTAAAATACTAACAATTAAAGCATTTTATCACACATTTTATCGCAAACAAAGGCTGTTTGAACACACGGATGTGTTGTTGACACCTGTCACACAAGTTGATTGGAAATCGTCTTCGCAGCCAGATAAGGTGTGAAAAATGTCTCGAGATCGAAGGTGTCAAAATAATCGAAAGACTTCGACTTATTTGTGGTAAATTGCACTAGATTTACTTTATACGGACCACGAAAAAACTTCGACACATCGAAAAATTCGACACATAAAATCTCGACTCATAAGTAGGTTTTTATAAGGAATATATAGGGAGAAAAATCGGGACTTTCATTTTTCTTCGACACATCGAGAAAAATCGACTAATCGAAGTTCGACTCATAGAAGTTCTACTGTATTGTGCTCGCCAGAGGCTCTCAAAATATAATTTTATGCAACTCGTTGAATAAATTCAGTACTGAACCTTCACTCAGTCAATATCCTCTATATAATATAATGCTGCTTTACGCCTTTGATCTAACATGATTTTGCGGGTGATATGCAAGATTAAGTCATCTTGTAGAATTTATGAAACGGAAAAATTGTGGGCAATAATGGTTTCACTAGCTGTATGAATTTTATTTTCCTAAGTAAAAAGTTGTAACTTTTTTAAATAGAAGAAATCTTAGTTTGCTTTACACATTATATAACTTTTATAATATTTCTATTCATTTTCATTTTTTACAGACACATTTGATTACGTTCAAGTGCGATCAAGGGGGATACAACTCGAAGAGGCTCTTATACTCTTTGTAGTTGTCGGACTGTGGGCATGCGCAATGGTGCTATTTGTGAAGCAGTGGGATAATATTCGTATTTTACAACCTCAGGAAACTCGTTATAAACACAGTCCAAAGAATTTGCACACAATAAAAATTGTGAAAAAGCCTCAAGATAGTGTAATATATAAAAATTATAGTCGGAAAATGTCGTTGACAATGGTAGAAAGAGAGAAGAAGCTTTTACGGATGAATACGGTACCGATCATGGAAAACGTGCATTCACTGCAGACTATAAACTCATTCAAAAAACTTTCCACTATAGAAATGGAAGAAGGGATTCAAGAGGAATCAGACAATGTTGACGTAGGCTCAAATGTGTGACGTAATTAATGACGTCATATTTTTGTATATACGACACTGCCACAAAGCGTGAAAATTTTCTGTGATATGTTTCCTGGTACATACAAGTGTTAATTATTCCATAATCATGAAATAGTAGAAGTATTATTTAGATGGGAATGTAACGTAGATGGGTCGGTGTTATATATAATTTGTTGTTTCATCCTTTTTCTCAAAAACAATATCTTCGGTATATATTTTTAGAATGTTTATGACATTAAATGAAATGACACATTTTGTGTACATAATTCATAGTTCTAAGTTCCTATACGACATTTGTCTATAAATCAGTCTATAATACACTTTTGCTTTTTTAAATCATATGACTTGTTTATTGTTTTGCAAACAAATTTGATATAATTACTTATGAATAGTACTTAGTTTTCTGAACGAAAAAGTCTACAAGTCATGTGTATTATTTTATATGGGAAGTTTACCATAATGCTGTCTGTGGCTAATTATATCTTCTCAAGCTTTGTAACGCAACATTTTGGAAAACTATAAATATATATTTTGTTGCGAAAAGGTCAATGTGCCATTTGTGTCAAAATAGGAAAAAGGCATTTGCTACTGAACAAACACGAATGTGTGTCAATGAGAAGTGTGATTACGGACAGGAACTACCAATACTTTTACTAAAAACAACAAACAAATTGTTTACGTTTAACTTTAAATCAGCCAAACGTTATAACATACGAGACACAAATTTGAATGAATGCGTGAAAGGGAGACGCCGATATGAAACGCTGAACGGTTTATACCGCCAAAAAGTCGCGAAGTGGCAGCGATTATAGCTGTTAAAGACATATATATTTTCGCATTAGCGTCTAAATTATTACTCTTCGTAGGCATGTGTAGTTATTATCCTGATAAATAATTGCATAACGATTAAATAAATGGTTAAATAAACATTATCGAGGCCAGTTCTTGTAGATTTTTTTTTAAAATAGACGTACGCATTGGATGGAAAACGAGGGCAAAGTCTAAATAAATTGAAAACTTATTTCCTGCCTGCTATATATTAGTCGATAAAGTACAGAACGATTGCCTTAATTAGCTCGTGCTTAAAAATACATTTACAGTTATTGCATGCCCTGACAGAAAAAGGAAATGCAAGCAATAAAAAGAACATTTGTTTATCATGTAGGCCTTTGCAATTTATTTGCTCAACGTAGGAATCTGTTACGTGATCAGACCATGTCAATGCATGATAATTTCTGTTATTATTTTAGTAATTGTTCCTGCTACATAAGTGGTGTAGCAACATTAAAACCATATTAAATACGCCCTGGGGATGGTAATTGAATAGACCAATTTGTGTAGTGCAAATTATGTTCGAGTATAGAATATACCAAATGGTGAACTGATCATTAAAGGTCGACTTTATAAAAGAAACGGTATGGTAGAAATTGAAATGTCAAGTGCATTAGTTCATAAAATATTCACCATTAGACAACACAAATCGCGTATGTATAAATGTCATGGTATCAAAAAGCAAATTTTACCAAATTATCAAATTATAAGCGTTAAAGGCTACATAATACAAAATTTATTTTGTCGTAGGGAATTTGTAGTTTTTTGTATACTAACTGTTTAAACGAATTTAACTGTTTAAATCTATATTTCATTTTAATTGAATTTCATTTCGTTTAGATAATTACCCTTTTCTTTAAACGAAAAAATAATACGATTTCATGAGATAATGGTTTGTTTATACGAATTTGGCTATTCCTTTGATTCCATCTCAGGACAAAAGGAAGAGCAATGATCAATTGTCAAGTATGATCAACATGACTGGAGAATAACATGTATTTTGCAGTCACATATTAGTTCTTAAACCTCGACTTGAATTTCATTTGTTTTAATAATATATACCACATTTATTGCTCAAAACGTCGTATGATTCTCTTTCGTTAAAGAAGTATATTACATGTATTAGATATTACGAAGATGTTATTATAATACACATTATGCCTCAGAAATCCATATTTTATAAAGTTCTTTCGAAATGTTTAACAAGTGTTTAATAATGTTTCTATAATGGATTTAGAGCATGTTTAACAACCGGTTGCGGAAAATAGCGTTGACAATGCAGTTATGTGCCGTAAAGGTAGAAAAATGTAAACAGAGTAGTATTTTGACTTCCATACAGATTCACTGCTACAGTTATACTATTTGCCAACAATGCAAAAGGAGCAAAGATTGTTCAACTTCATGGAAAATCAGTATTTTCTTTATACTGTAACAGGATACCAAAAATAAAAAGGTTTAGAGAAATTAAATAGCATTTCTGGGGCATAATGGGCCACCAAGTTAACTTTACAGGCACGTGTTCAAAGCCTTCTTCTGTTCTAGACGACATTTTGATTTTTAGCTCGACTATTCGAAGAATATGAGAGCTATTGTAGTCGCCCCGGCGTCGGCGTCAGCGTCCGCGTCTGCGTTGGTTTAAGTTTTTTGTAAAGTCAAATATCTCAATTATTGCTTGAGATATTCAATTGAAACTTACAATACTTATTTATAGTAACTAGGTACATCAGATTGACAAGTTGGATAACTCTACTTACATTATTGACAGAATTATGCCCCTTTTTAACTTAGAAATTTTGGTTAAAGTTTTTTGTAAAGTCAATTATCTCAATTATTGCTTGAGATATTCAATTGAAACTTACAATACTTATTTATAGTAACAAGGTACATCAGATTGACAAGTTGGATAACTCTGCCTACAATATTAACAGAATTATGCCCCTTTTTGACTTAGAATTTATGTTAAAGTTTTTGTAATACCTCAAATATTTTCAAAGTCCATTGACATATGGCTTTGAAACTTTGCACACATGTTCGCCATCATGACCCCAACCTGTAGACAGGAGGAGGTAACTGTATCAAGCATTTTGACAGAATTATGCCCCTTTTCAACTTAGAATTTACTTTTAGGTTTGCATTCCACCTCGTAACTTTAACATGGATTTAAAGAAAAATTTTGTCCTTTTGTTATAACTCTGAAAATTTTACATTATCAATGTTCTTTTACTATCAAGCACTAAGAATAGTCGAGCGTTGCTGTCCTACTGACAGCTCTTGTTCTTTTGTGTTATTTGTAGGAAATGATTTGTATCTAATACATGTATCTTATACTGTACATAATCTATTATCTATATTTTGATTAACGTTTTAACTTGGTTTATGTATTAATTCAAGTAAAAAATCTTTAGCAATTTGAAATTGGGTTCTGTATGTTATGATGTTAAATATGAGCCGCGTAACGACAAAACCAACGTAATGCGTTTGCGACCAGCATGGATCCAGACCAGCCTGCGCATACGCGCAGTCTGATCAGGATCCATGCTATTCACGATCAGTTTTTCTACTTGTTATAGGGTTTGTAAGCGAACAGCATGGATTCAGATCAGACTGCGCGGATGCACAGGCTGGTCTGGATCCATGCTGGTCGCAAACGCATTATTTTGGTTTTGTCGTGACGCGGCTCATATATCATGCTCAAATATTCTAAAAAAAACTCCCAAAATAAAATTTGTAAATATTACTGTAATGATGCCTTACTTTTTTCATATGATTAATAGAACTCCTTATTAGCTGTTATTGAAAGAATTTTACAATGTACATATATTACAATAATTTTAGTCACGTTGTACTTGCAAATTATAATAAAATATAGGAAGCATATGATTGAAACAATATCAATGTTCTTAATTTTTGTGGGTTCATTGAATTATTAAATTATAAAGAATCATGATGAATGAAATCGTTGAAGTTAAGATATTGATTAGATCTAAGTTTAATTTCTTTGTTATTAAAACGGTGTAAATTTAAATTCTAGTGATTTAATTTTTATAATTTGACTGCGATTATTAATTTAAAATGAATATTATGTTATATGATATGATTGTTGCACCAATACTAAGGAGCATATATTTTGAATATTAAATGCTGTATTATATAATGTATTGAATTATTGTATAATGTTGTACGCTATTTATATGATGGTACTAACATGTGTATTAACTTTATATTGTTTTGTGTACTGTTAATGTCACTAAACAGTCATCATTTTAGCAACACTTTTCGAAGTAAAAGTGGGGCTATTATCAATACAACTTTGATTCGCCAGTATCGCAGGAGCGGGCGATGGTTTATCGTTTTGTTGAAGTTTATGACAGAATGTCGGACTATTTCTTGCCGCACGAAAACGTGCTTTGGTTCTAACAAGTATCATATTTAGAATAACGAGTTTTTTCATGTACTGCTTGCCCAGTTGTAAACCCTCACTTTGCCAAAATGTTATAAGCTGTCTATTTACAGTTAACCAAATTTCGAGATAAAAATATTTTATAAACAAAACCCAGAATCTTACAGGCCCATTTTGTCTCAGAAATGATTTTATTTTTTTCTCAAAATTTTTTATTTCTATTTTGGTGAATATTATAGTATCCAAAGAGATGCTCATTGGCCAATTACCCTGAACCATCTTTTTCATCTGTTGCCTTTTCTTGATCAGTAAGGTTATAGTAAATTAGTATATTGTACGGAAGTTTACATTTTGGTTTTAAGACATATTATTTCACATGTATCACTATTATCCTCTGATAGCTTCTACGTTTTCTAAAACCATTATGTCAACATTAAGTTAACATTACAAAATTGATCTTTGCCCTTTTCTTAAGAAGTAAAAATGTATTTGTTTCTGAGGTATAATGTGCATTATAGTAGGGTTAAACTGTTGGATTCCACAGATTGGCTTGGTACTGGTCTTTTTGTTCAGAATTTTCCTTACCGCTGAAATTATTGTTACAAAGAGTTTCATGTAATTACGTATTTTTCTTATTTACCATCACACTTTGACGCGTATTTTTCTTATTTACCATCACACTTTGACGCAAGAAATAAAACTTTGTTGATAACATGAACTACGATGCAATAGTTTAAAAAAAGGATAATTCACTAGTTAAATAACTTTGCAACGTAACGTCATATGCGTCATACAAACATAGTTTAACCATATGTGTGTCCATGGAAAGATGATAACGACTCGTAATTATGGCATGTAAAAAATAAGGTTATAATTTTATTATATCCGAGAAGCTTTATAACTAAATTAACTGGACTCGTTGAAAATAACAAACATTATTTTATGCTACTTTAAAAATAAATTCAGTATTGAACCCACATTTAACCAAGATCCTCTAATGTATCTATTTTAAAAAAGTATTTGCAAAATAGTTCTTATTTTACACATAGGTTATAGAATAAGAATTCCTAAATTGTCAAACGCCTTACTAGCAGTTTCGATGATTTTACATATTAGATGATGGCGATTTTTTAATTTCTTTTTTTTTTTTTTTTTTTTTTTTTTGAAGTTTTGTAATAATTATATGTGATGAAAATTATCTCCAATCTTGTGGATGAGATGTGTAATACAAGTTAAATTATGGGAATAAATTCCAATCATTAAGCATATCTATATGTTTTCTGTAAACAAATACAAATGTATCATTTTCCTTTGATATGTAAATATATGTACACAATTATGATGAAATGGGTCATGTTTTATGAGAAATAACATCACAATCTTCTTTATATTATATGTACAATATGCTAAAAGATAAAAATTAAATACATCTATTATTTACATTGTTTGTTGTTGTAACTGATGTTGAGGATGATGTTGCCATATGATGATGTTGCCATACAGTATGCGACACCTTTGCAATTTTAATAGTAAAAGAATATGTCAGAAGAGTTATAATTTTTTTATACGACACTGCATAATTTTATCTCAAATGATTTAGCTGATTTGCCAAAGACGAAGCAACAATTCAGTGTTATAGAGCAAAAGGGCATGAAACAGGGCATAACAATAATGGTTTCAGTGGCCAAATTACGAAACGATTATGACACAATGACAGACAGGCGCTCCAGTGCACGTCTAACACATCAAACTTTTAATAATTCTATACAGCTGAGTCTGTAATTGTCACCTTTTGTTTTGTTTTCATCATTGCTCACTTAGGATCCCCCACTTTCAGACAATATTTACAAGACCTTGGCATTAAAAAAACAGTTACTGTTTATCTTTCTCACACACGTCTTATTGTCACATTGAAGATTCCATGATTACCATGTTTCTAAACTCATAATTTTCACCATTTTTGTGTTAAAATGTTGCTTTCTGCTTAAGCCGGTGCTAGGGGGCTTTGACGGTCTCTTGCATTTTCCAGAACCATCATGAACATGCTCAATCAAACTGAGCATGCAACATTTTCAATTTTGCCGTGTTGGGCTTTCGTTAGGGATGCTGTTTTTCTCTATTTTAAAGTAGACAATTACAAAATTCTGGAAACAAAGTGATCCCTCGGAACCATTAATCACAACAAAATAACATAAGAATTGCAGACTCGGTTTGATTGAGTCTGTACATGAGGGATAATGAATAGGTGCAACATCCCTCACGCCCCCTAGAAGCGGTACTCAATTCTCAACACTTTATAGTGTTGGTATCAATGATCCCGAAGGACAAGAAAATATAACAACAAATATGATAAACAAGATCAACAAGGAAAGGCGGCGTTCAATGAACGCAACCCCCATATGACCCAGCAACAAGAACCAATGGCAAGGAGCCAAGGCGGACCCTAAACATAAAAAGGGCAGGGCAACGACACGTTAATCATTAAATGATAAATAATTTGTAACTGATTAGGAATTCAAAGAAAATAATAATAGGCCCATAAAGGGGACAGGAGACCGGGGGAAGGGGGAGGGGGTGTTAATCAAAGAAATAAAAACTAGAGGGGGGGGAAGGGTTAATCAAAGAAATAAAAACTAGAGGCAATGGGAAAGATACTTACCGTAGACGAGAAAACAACAAGGGACACAAGCAAAAGTGTCGCCAAAACAGTATGAAACAACATAGAGATACATCTGAGGAACACAGTAGGGCGCCGCCTTGGAACGGTAGCAGCATAATAATGACTGCTGGGGAGTTTAAACCAGTTAATGGTGCACCAAACCTCGCTCTTAGCCCCACCATGTTCCTATAAACGAGACAGTGTAAATAAAATGAATCCCCGCCGAGTGAAATTCTAACAGTTGTCATGGTTACAAAAGGTTAAATAAGTAAAAACTGAAGTGAAGTACGGGGCAACTTTTTACGGCTGCCTACGGCACTTGACACCTGCTGTTTTGAAATGCAATGTTAAGGGGACAATATAAATCAGTCCCTCAAGCCACAATCCGGGAAAAATATTATCTTTAGATGATAGGCCAGCATTTTCCAGATGAAGTCCGGATTAGAAACTTTGAGACATACTCTGACATTGCTAAAATTTTTAAAACAAGGGCTATCCATTTGTCATGTTAGCTTTTGAACTGATCTGTAATTGACATTTTAATGGTATATATACTGTTTTAGTTTTACGATGCACCACGAAGTTTTGGTCTCATTGCACCCAAACTGACGGCGTGGCCGAGTGGTTAACGCGTCGGACTAGTAATCTAAGGATTGCTTACCGCGTGGGTTCAAACCCTGTCAGGGGCAAGCCGTTGTTTCCTTGAGCAAGAAACTTTACATTCATTGCTTAGTACTGGTTGGTTCCAGGAACGGATTCGAGAGTGTTTCAATAAGCTTATAGCTTCCAACACAATCGAACTAAAATAAATTTGTATAAACTAAACTGAAAAGATGATTTGGCAAACATCGGATGTTAAAAACTTTAAGAAACACCAATGGTCAAAACTACCTCACTTGCTGGAGCAACGAGATACATAGAATCTAGTAATTAGAACCAATTTAGTCGCGATCACACTGGGTTTAACGGTGACTGTAATTCTGATGCCTCCACCCGTAAGACGCATGGGGCATATATAGTTCTAAAGGCTGATTGTTGTCTGTACTGGTCGTAAGGGAATATTCAGTTGCTCTGAGTGACTGTAGAATATCGACGTCCACCAAGTGTTCATACAGGAGTAATTCGTTTAAACATAGTCTTTAAATTGTAGAAGTGGGGACATAAATGTCGTCAACAAGGTAGTTGAAAACCAAATATTTTATTTAATCTGTTTATCAGATATAATGGAACGAGACACATACCAAACGCTTCCTATTCAATCCACAACACTTAAATTATTTGAATCTTGAAGAACTTGCACCATATAACGACAGAATCGGACGGAATGAAGTATTCCTAAATAAAACAAACTGTATCAACCATTATTTGATTTTTTTTTCTCTTCTGAAGTCTGACCGTGATTCAGCCAGACATTAATATAATTTGAGAAGGTGAATTCATGTTAATTCTGCGGCCAACCAATAATATAAATTTTTATTGAAATGTTT